AACACACAAATGTCAGTTTTATTTGTATAGCACATTTAAACACAACAATGTTGACCAAAGTGCTTCACAAGCAGGAACTATATGATATAAACGAAAGGCCAAACATTAAAAATACAATATAATAAAATAGGCTAAGAACAAACTAAAACAAGAACATAGACAACAAAAAGGATCTGATGGAACTCAAACCAAACTTGAGTTCAAAGCCAGTGAAAAAAAGTGAGTTTTTAGGCGATATTTAAAGGACTTTACGATTCTGCTGAACAAATGGGCAGGGAGTTCTAGAGTCTGGGGGCTGCCACAGCAAAAGCCTGAACCCCCCCTCCATTTTAATTTTGCCCTCGGCTGCACTAAAAGCATCTGAATAGAGGATCTCAGTGTTCTCTTTGGGTTATAAAAGTGCAAAAGATCCATTAAGTAATTGGGTGCCAAGCCATTTAAAACTTTAAAAGTCAGTAAAATAATCTTAAAATCAATACGAAAAGGAACAAGTAGCCAGTGTACTGTTAAAACAGGACTGATGTGTCAAGGTTATGTCAGGCCCTCTGGATGGATTCTTCTTAGTTGAAATGTGTCATCTTTTATCCAAAAGACTTCTTCGGTCAAACAAAGAAGAATCTGTCCAGAGAACCTGACTTAACCTTGTTAGATTTATCTACCTGGATTATAGAGGATGAATCAGGACTGATGTGGTCGTGCCTTCTGACAAATGGCAATCCATAATTCCTGTTTACAGACACTGAGCTAAGCTTTGGTGTGGAAGTATCTGAGAGTCATTTACAACACATACTCTGAGCGTGACATCTTACAGTTTTGCATGAGCTTGTGTTTAAGATTAATTTCAAGGATTGACCAAGATGGGTATAACGGAAACTTTGGCATGAATGGCGTGTTATTCCACAACTCTTCAACAAATCTAATAAAAAAATATATCAGGACATCAGATCATTTATTTTGACTGGATGGAATAAAATATTTAAGTTCATCAGAAAGCTCATCTGATGTCTTTTAGTAAGATTTGCAAACCGAAATGGCTCACTCACTTAATTCACTTCAGCGATATAGAGGAAAAACAATGAATTCAAGAGCACTCTCCAGCTTAAAAGCAGGGCTAAAGTGGCTTTAGCTCCATTGAGTTAGATTTATTTTTTCTTTAGAAGACTCTCTTGATCCTAAATTTAGTATGAGAGGCAGTCTGCACAAAGCAATGCAGACGCAGATGTTGATTCAAATAGTTGAATCTTGATACTTAACCTCCCTCCTGGTTCTTTGTAACAGCTCAACCTTTAGCTCCTGAAATCATTAACGTGCACTCATAGTTCTCAGTTAGACCATGATACAGAGAAATGCATGGAAAGGAAAACAGTCTTTCAGCCATTAATAACCTCTTGAAGCTCACTTTCAGCCCATAAACTTCTTCTAAAGGAGGGAAAACAGCAGAGAACCACTTAACAGAGTGTTTCCAACTGGGCCACTTTAAAACGTTCAATTAGGAGTACAATAAATGCTCAAACAAGCTGGTGTTTAGTATCTTAATGGACGTTCAGTTTAACTGTACTGCAGTCTACTACTATTGAAGTAGATTTGTTATTTTTAGCAGCAAAGCACAGAGAGTAGATAGACTACTTGCTGATCTGTGGAAAAGAGCATGCAGGTAAATGTAAGGTCATTTCTGTTTTCACAAAACTAAAGATGTTCTAAAGAACCTCAGTTCTTTAGGGGCCTCAGTTTTAGGATTGAGGTCTTGTGTGTCATTTTGACCCAAGGGCAGCAGGAGCGCAGTGGTGCAGACTCAAGTCACATGACCTGGACTCGAGTCATTAATGTTTTTGACTTTAGATTTGATTCGAAAAAATGTTCAGAGACTTATAACTTGACTTGGACTTTTACACCAACGACTTGGGACATGACTTGGACTTTGACCTGCTTACTTAAAAATACTGTTTACTTAAAAATACTTGATATTTTACCCATAATCTAAAGTTTAAAACATAATATTTAAAAATTGTGTCCATTAATTCATTTCACTCATTTCGTATTAATAGATGCAGACTGTTTCTCTCCTTTCACACTCTGTACGTATGCTGGTGAAGATTCTCAGTCATTCAGGACACGGTAAATCCAACAAAGATTAAAGACAAAAACAAATGGACTTCTATTCTGTAGCTGAAGATGTTTCGCTTCTCATCCAAGGAGCTTTCTCAATTCAAAGAACAGGGAATGTGGAGTTCAAGTTATGAATCTGAGATGTTCTGTAATCTGGATTCACATGCAGATTACCCTCTCACTCCTCACAATAGAGCTTTGTTAGATTCTTTATTAGTTTTATTCACAGATGGACCACTGTGGTCACATGAATGAAATTCTTGATTGGTATGAAACTGACTGGGCCTGAAGCTGCTTTATAGGTTTTAGAAAGCTGAAATCTGAGACCACCTACTCTGGAGATGGTTTCTCTTGTCTTACATAAACAGCCTCCTTCACCCCCTCTCAAACCATCTGTCTTCTCGGTTCAAAATGTGAACATTTTGGTCCTCAAAAGATTGTCCCTTATCCTTGAGGTGTAGGTGAACCACTGAGTCTTGTCCTGAAGAGCTTGCATGTGTTGCAAAATGCTTCTGTGGAGATGCTGTTTGGTTTCTCCAATATAGATAGCTGGACATTCCTCGTTGCACTGGACTGCATAAACCACATCACTCTGTTTGTGTTTGGCTGTTTTGGCCTTAGGGAAGACCAGCCTCTGGCTGAGAGTCCTGTTGGGTTTGAAATGTACGCAGCATCCCAGTATTATTCTTGCAGCTAAGTTTAACTGAACTGTGCAATATAAAGGTGCAGATTTAGAAGGACTTTAACACTTTGTAAGTTCAGTTGCACATGTTTCATCATGATTTGAGATAAATACAGATTTTAAAAAGGACACACGGTTTATTATTTATATTTAACATTTAATTGCAATATTGTTAAAAAAGACCTGAGAGGACTTGAAATTCCAAGTTTCAGACTTGGGACTTCACTTGACACTTGCCTGCCTTGACTTGAGACTTGACTCAGGACTTGAGGATGAAGACTTGAGTCTTACTTGAGACTTCCAAAACAATGACTTGGTTCTACCTCTGGCAGGAGGGTTAAGGTGCATGTTACCATAATTTCCTGATCAATGGATCAAGTGAAGCAGGTGGTTTATTTATTTATTTTTTATTTTTTTATTAGGGTACCACCTTGTGTTTTTGTTCCACATTTTATTGAAATTTTCATTGAATCTGTCATTCTACTTTCCTACCCTCACCTATGGTCATGAACTCTGGGTTGTGACCAAAAGAACAAAGATCATGGATACAGGTGATCTAAATTAGGTTTTTTTTCTGCAGGTTAGCTGGACTCTCCCTTAGAGATAGAGTGAGATAGTTTTTATGCTATTAGTGCTTACCATATTTTTTGTTAATGTTTTTCTTAGTTCATATCTTAGATCTTATTACCGTTTTTCTTTTACATTTTATTGTTGGATGTGACTGGGACCTTGTTCATACAATTTCATTCCACCACATGTACCAAATGTGGTGTGAATAACAAATAAAGAAACTCTGACTCTCTCTCTCTGACTCTGAGAAGTTCAGTTATTTGGGAGAGACTCGGAGTAGAGCCACTGCTCCTCCACATCCAAAGGAGCCACTTGAGGTTCAGACCTTTGGTAAGAATGACCCCTGGATGAATCCCTAGGGTGATATTCTGGACATGTCCAACTGGGAGGAGACGCTGGGGAAGAGCCAGAGTAAGGTGGAGAGACTTTGTCTCTCAGCTATATTTTCCTCCCAGAAGAGCTGGAAGAGGTGGCTTTGGAAAGAGATGTCTGGACCTCTTTCCTCAAGCTGCTGCCCCCGAGACCTGAGTCCTGAACAAGCAGAAGATAAAAGTTTAATGTCATACTTTGTCTGACCACAGTCAGAATGAGCCCAAGATCACAATCATCAGAGCTGCTCACTCCTTCTAGTCACTCCACAAAACATGCTTTAATTGCATTGGATGGCCCATCTGCACGAAAATGACAAAGCAATAGTAGTTCCCACTCTACTTTGAGGTACTGAGACCTGATCAACCCTAACCAAACACCTTCACATGATGGAAATGTTCTCTGCCCCTCATTCTGAACATCAAGTAGTGGCAGCACATAACCAATGTGGTGGTTCTGAGGAGAACCACCTACACAACCATAAAGCCCATGTTGAGAACCAGTCTCTGCTGGCTGGCTCATGTTTGCAGCATGGATGATGATCAATCATCAAAGTGAATCCTTCTCAGTGAGCTGAAGAGACAGGATCAAGATGCTGACCTAAAGAGTGATGGAAAGACTGTAAAGGAGGATATGAAGATCTGTAGCTTTGACCAAGACTTGTGCAAGGACAAAACTGTGCTATAAAGTGTAGCAAGGCCTGGTTCTGTCGGAGGCCCACCTTAACCCACGGGTGTGATGCCTGAGATGTCACAGGGTTCCTGCAGACATCGTTTCTGTTTTGTTCAATAGTTGTTTTTTTTTTTTTTTTCTTTGGGGGGCGGGGGTTGTTGTTCTTTAGACGCCCGGTTTCCTTGTTTAGTTAGTCTGGCATTAATTGTCTTCCATCCTCAGTGCTTGATATCTGTTCTTGTTTTGTTTTTTTGTGAGTTTATTCATGTCAGATTTATTTTTTTGTGGCTATTATGTCAACCTTTTTGTTTTTCCGGTCCGGTAATAAAGTTCAAGTTTTCCTTTAAACGTTCTTGCCTCCGCCTGCATCAGGATCTGTCTTCAAAACAGTCCACCATGCTGGACGAGCATGATGTTCAAACTGATAAAAATCATCATGCTAGTCCCTGTTAGCTGCTTTTTAATGATGTCTGCCCAGAGCATGTGCAGGTGTCTGAGACCCCATGGGAGTATTAGTAGGTAGGTTGGTTGTAGTCACATGGGAAAAAAATAGGCATGTATGTTCCTAATTTTATTGAATGTATCCATTTTGTGTCTGCAGGAAACAGGAGTTGTTGAGCATCTCCAACATCCCACTTGGAGAATGCCCCCCCTCACCACCCCGCACTGCACCACCCAGCATGAAGGTACCACACACATGTCCTCTGAGATGGTGGCATTTAACATGTGCAAGTAATTTTTATAGACATAAACATTGCTCTCAGTTAAACTAATAAAGTAGAATGAATGGTCCAGTTTATTTTAATTTATTAATTCATTTATCAATTTCATTGGTGCAATCAGTATATGTAAATATACTTTATGGGACAAAGTGGAAACTCAAATTTCTCTCTTTGTTCAGTAAAGCATTTCTGCACGATGATATGAGAAAATATCAACTTAGTCAGTTCTGTAATTCATTTAATTTGTTTTTCCTATTTTTTTCTGTTGAATCAAAGGTTAAGGTTATTTTACTGAGTGAAATAAATCCTGCTCTTCCAGGTGTAGAGCTCTATAATCCCTTTTTTATTTGTGTACTTGACATTAAAACAGGGATTTGTTTTGGAGCAAAGGGAAATATGAAGAAGCTTATGTAGGAACATGAGATTTTTAGCTCCACCAAAATCTTTATACCTGTGACAGCGTTTTTATTTTCTTTATTGTCCCTTTTGTTTTTGTTCTTGAGTAAGTTTATGTGTGCATGTGTTTGTGTGTCTGTTAACAAAATATCTCATGACCTACTGGACAAGTTTTAATAAAACGTTCAGGAAGTAATCATTGGATGTACATCTGCAACTGGAAAACGTTTGGTGTCAATCTAATCTATGATGGCTGCCACATCAAGCACAAAAACTGCTATAACTCTGTCAAATTTACAGAGGAACTGTAGGGAAATGGATCTTGATGATCATTTTGCTTCATAGAACTGTTCAATTTTGAATAACGGTGATGTCATCACGTATGTTGTATGTGACAACATTCTTCATCAGAGCATCAACATCATGTGTTGTCCAGCAGGAATTTATTCACCAGGGACCTTTCTTGGTGGAGTTTGCATGTTTTCTGTTTCATGTGGGATTTCTCCAGGTACACTGGTTTCCTCCCGCAGACCAAAATCATGCATGTTAGGCTGATTGGTAACTCTAAATTGTCCCTAGGTGTGAGAGTGAATGTTTGTCTCGTTTGTCTCTATGTGTCTCTGTGATAGACTGGAGACATGTCCAGGATGTACTCCGCCTCTCACACAGTGACTGTTGGATATGGGCACCAGTGACTCCCGCCACCCAAAAAAAAAAGAAATGGACCAAGATAATGGATGGACTGATGGATGTTACAACTTAATTGAAGGCCTAGCTCTTATAGTCACAGTTCAACACTGCTCAGATTAGGACGGTCTTTGTCCAACACTCTGACATGAAAGGCAACAGAGGATACACATTTCTTGAAGGAATTCTAAACCTTTGATTCTCTCTTTAAAAAAAATTCAATTGAAAAATGAGTGAACAAAACCGTTTACATGATGCGTATTTTGAGTGAAACCACACCTTTCTCTCTGCAGTTTGGCTGTTCATTTATACAACACCAGTACCCCCATCTCCCTCTCTGAATCTGGAGGTTTTCAACCCAGGTCTCAGAGTGGAGATTTTTGATGTGACTACCCTCTGAGGTGTCAAAGCACACGTGCAATACAGGTGTATATTTCACGCATACGTGGACCAACGGCATATTTCTATCAAGGACAATGGCGCCGAAGTACTGTTGAATACTGTTTTCTGTGCTACGACTGATGGAATATGCAGTATTTTGGGTCTCGTAATTAATCTGTGATGGAATGTAAGTGCTGTGACTGACATCTGTGTTGGGAAGAGACACCAGTCGGATTGAGTTCTAATATCGCTATTTCTTGAATGAGGCAGGTGTATAATGCATGCGTGGCACTGGAGTATAACATACCAAATGTGCTAAATAATAACAATAACAATAATAAACAGTTCTAATAATAAACAGCTGCCCATTGTCATTGATTCTGTTCATAACTTTTATGGACAGAATTTCTCAGTGCAGCCAGGAAGTGGAGGGAGTCCAGTTCAGTGACCTCAGGATTTCTTCTCTGCAATTTGCAGATGATGTGGTCCTGCTGGCGTCATCGTGCTGTGATTTTCTGCTGTCACTTAAACAGTTTGCAGTCGAGTGTGAAGGGTCTGGGATGAGAATCAGCACCTCCAAATCTGAGGCCATGGTCCTCAATCAGAAAAGGGTGGATTGCTCTCTTTGGGTCGAGAGTGAGGTTTTGCCTCAAGTGGAGGAGTTCAAGTATCTCTGGGTTTTGCTCATGAGTGAAGGAAGAATGGAGCATGAGATTGACAGATTGGTGCAGCATCTGCACTATTGCGGACTCTTTGCTGGTCCATTGTGGTGACTGGTAAACAGAGAGTTTTGCCTTACAGCTACATTCCTACCCTCAGCTATGGTCACGAGCACTCGGTAGTGACTGAAACAATGAGATCGAGGATTCAGGCGGTCGAAATAAGTTTCCTCGGCAGGGTAGCTGGACTCTCCCTTAGAGATAGGGTGAGAAGTTCAGTTATCCGGGAGAGACTCTGAGTAAAACCGCTGCTCCTCCCCATCAATAGGAACCAGTTGAGGTGGTCCGGGCATCTGGTAAGGATACTCCCTGGATGCCTCCCTAGGGAGGTGTTTTGGGCATGTCCAACTGGGAGGAGACCCTGGGGAAGACCCAGGGCATGCTTGAGAGACTACATCTCTCAGTTGGTCTGGGAACACCTTCTCCCAGAAGAGCTAGAAGAGGAGGCTGGACCTCCCTGCTCAAGCTGCTGCCCCTGCGACTCTACTTCGGAATAAGCAGAAGATGATAGATGGATGGATGGATGGATGGATGGATGGATGGATGGATGGAT